GGAGGAAAGTCATTACTTAATATCTTTGTTAAAGGAATGAATAAACCGGATTATGGAGAGGGGGGAAAGTCGTAGAAACACGTCACGCACACGCCCAGAGACGATCACAACGACGTAGCGTTGAGGCTCACGGAACAGCTCATACGCTCCGGTATTGCCAAACGCTTCCTTCAGTCATGTTTGTTAGACTTGTATAAACACAGCTCGGGTAGCCGGTCCAACATCTGCAGTAGTAGCGCTGCGATGACGCAACACGGCCGAGCAGCAGACAGTAATCTCTTCCCAGAGACAATACAGAGAGAGACGTGACCTTGCATGTCCCCGTGACTCCGTTCTGAGCACACACACTGTATTAGTGCGTGACCCTGGGGAACTTCAAAGAATTAGAAAAAATAAATCTCCCAGAACTTTCCGCATAACCGCCACTCCTCCCTGTCCTCTTTGCCATCCTTTCACCCCCGTTTTTTTTTTCTTTTTTTTTTTACCCCCTTCATCCTCTCTGCAGCCAAGTAGCTTGTCCTTACGCACCATCTGTCCGCTCTACCCTTCCTCCCTTCATTCCATCAACCCGTCCTTCCTCTCCCTTCAGACCAGCAGGAAACTTTGAACTTTCAGGAGAGGAGGGATGACACTCGCCTCAATGTGCGCGGCAACGATAAGAACAAACAGGAAAAAAAAACTTGTAGGTTTCCTCCGGACCGTTAAGGAGCTTTCTCAAAAAGATGACGCCCTGCGTTGTGGGATTCAACCAAATGGGGTTTTATCTGTACAAAAAAATAAAAAAAAGAAGAAGTGGCAAAGTGCAGGGCCGATCAGAGCAGTAATGGATGACCGCTCCCTCTCTCTCGCTCTCTTGTTTACTGAAATATGTGAGACTAATGCGTCCATCCTCTTTTTTAAATGTTACATTCTGAGTGTAAAAGCTTCAGTGATCTGGTTTTTCTGCACTCATGGATGCCCGTGTACACATCCAGTTAGATTGTATTTATGCGGTTCAGCGTCACGACAGGCGTCCACATGAACTTCCATCGCGGTCTTACGGCTCCAGCGGCTGCTAAACGGAGGCTTATTAGCAGCTCGAGGTGGTTCCCCAGTTAAGTGTGCATTTCACAGTTTACGTTGAGCGCGCATTGCAAGGGAAGTGTTGTTCTCTGTCGCAGCTTGTAGTGTCAGGAAGTTACGACAGAAGTGCTGATAACACACGTCTAAACACAGCCGACCAACCTACGGTCCCCGGGCCAACAGGGGCCCTTTTTGTTTTTTTTGGTCTTTTAATTTAAAAAAAAAAAAAAAAAAAAGAACTTGCAGCAGGGTCATTTACCTGAGTTGGCTGAACACAGCGGGAGAGAAGACAGAGTGAGAGAAAGAGGTGGAAAATAGCAAGGTGGTGCCAAAAATGTCAGACACGCTGGGAAAATAAATACTTGTTCACGGAAGTCAAAGGGAAGAGTGTTTGCAAGGAATTCGCCAGAAATCTGTTGCAATGAGGGAAGATTGTAAAGTAGCAAGACTCTGTGAAACATGAGCAGAAAGAAACAGAAAGTTAAACTCCTCGGAAGCATGAGGAATTGCAACAATGGCCGATTATTAGGTAGCTAGGCTCAGCAGCCGTCACAGGAAACCTCAAAAAATGTCAACATGTCAGAAAAACAGCTGCCATATAATTCCAAAACCTGTCAGCTAACTTAAAGTGTCAGTGTTATTCAAATGCACGTGGTGACAGCACAGATGCGACACTGACGCAGCCCAACTGTTACACCCTTCACATCTCCAGGGAGCTGCTTCATCTTAAGAGTCTAAAGGGCACCGCAATGGGAAAGGACTTTTTTTTTAACTTTTTTTTTTTAAAAGCTGTATCTGCTGCTCTGGGACGAGCTGTGTGCAGATCGGGGTTCCAGCAATGACAGTTTTCTGGTCTGAATGAATCTTTTAATGATACTAAAGGTTAATTTAAACCTATGTTCAAACATCACTGATGTACACAAGCCTTCAGCTACAGTATAGCTCAGCATACAGAACAGTGTAATCATAGTCTGACTTAGCCTGCTATTTCTAATCCACATTTCACACATGTTTATCCACATCCTTTACGATATGTACCTTTTTTTAAGATCCAATTTGCTATGAGGAACAACAACAACCTCCGTGCTAGCTGAAAAGGGCTGCTGAAGATTTGGATCGTGCAATAATACAGCCCTGCTTGGTTCTTCTGGTGAATTAGCCAAAGTTTTCCCTCTCAAATGCTTCACCAAGCAAATTCCCCTGTCATTACTTTGCAAGCGCCACCATCACTGCATTCTGAGCTTTGCCGATTATGAATTATTTGAGGAAATACAAAGAAGCTTGAGTGTTTTCTTTCACTGAAGCAGAATGATAATGAGGTGCAACCATGTAGAGATATATCTAGCTTCATGAGAACATCCATCCATCCATTATCTATACACCACTAAATCCTCACTTGGGTCATGGGGGGCTGGAGTCTATCCCAGCTGACTCAGGGCGAAGGCAGGAGAAACCCTGGACAGATCACCAGTCTATCACAGGGCTACACTTAGAGACAGACAACCAAGCACACTCACATTCACACCTACGGACAATTTAGAATCACCAATTAACCTCAACATGTTTTTGGACCTTGTGGGAGGAAGCCGGAGAACCCGGAGAGAACCCACGCTGCACGGGGAAAACATGCAAACTCCACCCAGAAAGATCCTGGGTGTCCTCACCGAGACTCATACCGGCGACCTTCTTGCTGCGAGGCAACGGTGCTAACCACCTACCCACCTTGCAGCCCCTAATCGAATAATCAGTAATGCTAAATTAACCCAGTTGTCTTAATACTTCCTGGTTTTGGTCATGTGACATCTGTTGTTGGTGCAATGTCACGAGTTGTTTTCTGTACGAATATCTCAGTAAATCAACCAGTAGCTAAACGTATTTTTTCCTATATTTTTGAGAACTTCGACTGGCATCACAGGATACTTTACTAGCTAAACTCCCACAATCCTCTCTGCTTGCCAACATGGAACTGACGAAAATCCGGGTGACGCCTCCTCGCGTCGCTACAGTGTTTAACAGTGAGAGGCCCCACCTGGTGGCTCAATCAGGTACTGCCTACAAGACATATCTGCTGCCGTAACATGCAAACTCCACGCAGAAAGATCCCGGGTGTCCTCACCGAGACTTGTACCGATGACCTTCTTGCTGCCAGGCAACAGTGCTAACCACCGATCCACCTCGCAACCCTTCGTGAGAACATTATGAACACATTAGCTATAATTGCTGTTTGGTGTTGAACCACGTACTGACAGACTCGACTGTTCTGGAATTAAAGCGGTATCCCAAGCTGTATTTTGAATTTTTACAGCATGATAACCCTTTTGTGTGAATTGGATCAAAGACTGAGCCTTTAATTACGCTGTTGTTGCCTCTCATAACAACCATCTGTTCAGGAGTTCAACAGACGTGACAAGAACGCTCTCGCTACTCCTCCAGGCTTGAAATATATGTATGGAAAAGGCTGGTTGAGTGAACGGAAAAAAGCACGTATGAATGCAAACACCCATGTACATGCGATGTCACACACACACACACATGGATCGCAAAGGTATTCAAGAATATATATGTAGGAACACACTGCTCCCATGGCACGCTGGAGGATGGCATTTTTCTGTCAAGTTTCTGAGATGAGTCAGCGGAGTTACGCCTTATTCGATGCTTGCGTTGAGACAATATAGCGCTGGGAGATTAGTGGTGACCGTGGGAGAGGAAATTATTATTTTGGCCAAGACTTTTACTGATAAAGCCATCGCATCATCACAGGGTATAAGTGGGGATCCACTTCATTCCACTTCAGTGAGAATCTCTATTCTCCCGCTAGTCAAGAGATTTCCTCAAATCCTTAAATGCCTTAGAAAAGAAAAGCCCAGAAAAATGGGTAGAAAATTGGTGCAGTCATTTGTAGGTTACGCATGCTGGTGGAGAAACCAATTACCACTCTACTGTATGAGCCAGAGCCAGAGAGAGAGAGAGAGAGAGAGAGAGAAGGGAAATGCGAGTTCAAGAGTTCAACGTGAAAGATCTGAAACATTTTCTGTCTCGTAACATAAATATGATTATTTCCGGCCTTGTGTTGTGTTTTGTTTTGTTTTTTTAAGACCAAATCTCATGTGGGGTTTCATCTGAAGATGTGAAGTGACAAGATGTCAGTGGAGATCTGGCGCTGCTGCAGCATGACCATCATTCCACCAGCCCTCAGCCTCCACCATACCTCCCCGACAACGACAATGAATGAGAAAAACAATGACACGGGGGTGATAATCGGAAAAAAGGTGCTGCTGTGTGCATGCCAGAACAAGAGAGCGGTCGTCCTCGTCTTCTAATTTTAGACCGTGTCGTGAGACTAAACAGACAAGACGGGCTGAACGCAACACAATGGACTTGTTCTTGATAAACACCAATCAGCGCTTGCACAAGTGCAATCACCAGCGAGTGTGGAGACCCCTGCTCTGCATGGTGTTAGGCTCATCATGTGCAGCCAACAGGGCGTGATGAAATTAATGTAATGCAATTTGCGTGTAATTGTTTTGGTGCGTGCATGTGAGTGAAGGAGGGGAGCGTGGTTTCTGGAAGATGGTGCAGATCAGATGATTTGATTGCAGGATGTGCTCACTGTAAAGATTTGTTTTGTACTTGTGAGAGATGAGGATTGTTGGATTTTACCTCCAAAAGGCTGCATCAAATTAAAAAAAAAAAAAAAAGTAGTGATTGCATTGCTCAAGTGACAGGAAAGAGTGTCCTCAATGAAGTGCCTCAAGTTCATGTGAATGCATTTCTCACACTTCATGTGACCTCCTGCCACATGTCTTGGAGCAGCGAAGGAGCCCAGGAGCGGTTAAAGCTACCAAGGTCGTGTGAAGCAGCGCTGGAGCGGAGAGAGAGAGTCGTGCTGTGGGGTGTTGGAAGGAAAAACGAGACAAAGGAACGGGGAGAAAACTTACCTCCTCCACAGTGAGGGGCATGCATATCCTGTACTCCTTCAGCAACATCTTCCCCTCCTCTCCGCGTCTTCTTCTTCTCCTTCTTCTGCTCCTCTGTGCTCACAATGTGTCAAAGCAGCCCAAACGATCCGTCCGCCGCCCGACGGGATGTTGTCTTGTGTCGGGAGACGTGTCAGCGCATGTGACGGGATGATCGGAGCGAGTTTGGGGAAGCAGCCCGAGTTACCACCGACTTCTTTAATCGGAACCGACGCGCACTCTCTCCGGCATTGAATGTGAGAGCAGGAATGAGCTCGGTTCTGGGGTTGTCCCCTCCTATCAGAGCTGCCGAGTCAAGCTGTCGGCGATCAACGCGGAACCAGATCGAGGGTGGAGCTTTAAAAATAAAAGCATGGATAGAATTTAAAGGGAAAAAAAACAAAAACGTCTTTGTGATCTTACAAATACACAAAAATACGTAATGTTCTAGACTGTTTCAACTGAATATAGTCTGTGTGAATTATCAGCATGTTCCTCAATGTGCCCGATTTAAATTCACTTTTTTTATTATTATTATTATTTGCACCATCATTAATCAAATATTTCAACTTTATTTGCATAGCACCTTTCATACATCTTACTGCACTTCAGATTTTATTCATAAAACATACAAAAGCAACAGGAGTTGAAAAAAAAGTGCTGTAAAGGTAAAATCATGTAACACAATGGCAAAAGACAAAACTTAGTGAATAAAATGATAACAATCAGAAGAAGGTGACCAGTAGGCCGGTAATAAGGCAGAACAAGAGATTAGATATAGATTGACCCTATTCAGGACTTTCATGTTGCCATATGCAGAAGATCTTTCGGGGGTCTACTGGGCCCCAAGAAAGAATATCCATCCATCCATTATCTATACACTACTTAATCCTCGATAGGGTCGTGGGGGGCTGGAGCCTATCCCAGCTGACTCAGGGTGAAGGCAGGGGACACCCTGGACAGGTCACCAGTCTATCACAGGGCTACACTTAGAGACAGACAACCAAGCACACTCACATTCACACCTACGGACAATTTAGAATCATCAATTAACCTCAACATGTTTTTGGACTTGTGGGAGGAAGCCAGAGAACCCACGCTGCATGCAAACTCCACGCAGAAAGACCGGCCACCTTCTAGCTGCGAGGCAACGGTGCTAACCACTGATCCACCTTCAGCCCTACAAACTATGCTATATAAATTTTCTGATAAGTTGACGTATTTTTGGTTCCAAATGCATGACAAATGTTCCTCTTTTTATATTAAAAAAAAAATAAAAAATCTTGAAAAAAAAAAACAATACCTGTCACCTAAACCAAATGTCCTGGGGTAGCACAGTGTAAAAAGAAAAACATTAATTCAAATTTGGTGCAATCTGGCTGATTTATCAAGGCCAGAATGTAAATTTGCTGAATGTTTTGAAACATATATGTAACATATATGTAACATATATGTAATGTATTTTAAATGTATATCCTAGGGGACTTTCGGTGACGTCATGAGAAGAACAACAGTCAGTTTTAAATTTATTTTTTGGCCTTTTTGCTATGTATGTAATATGTTTTGTACACTTTTTTTTTTCTTCTTTTTTTTACATCACTGATCTTGTCTCAGATACTGTTCAATGGATTTTAAAAATCTAAATAAAAAGTTCTAAAAAAAAAAAAAAAAAGGATATCCTAATGAGAAGATAAGATTTACTGACATTTTCAGTCAACGACTTTTATTTTATATTCTCCTTTAAAGCTGCTTTAAGGAACTATCGTTTTTTTTAAATATATTTTATTTTTTAAAATAAATTCAACCGGATGTGGCTTTGCCTCACGCCTGCTGGCTTCACACTGGTCTGTTCGGGATAGCGCCAGAAGTATATCTAAATTGCTGATACGGAAAATGTGACTTTTAAAAAGCAGCGACTGTGAAACTGCCCCCCAAAATCATTTTAATAATAATTTAAGGTGTGCTTCAAAGTTGCGGGCGAACCAAAGGCCTTGATCAGGAGGAGGCTCTCTGCTCTGTGGGGCTCCTCTTCCTCCACTTGTAAAAACAGCTTGCGGACGAATCGGAAAATGTAAGCAGGAGGCAGCAGCAGCAGCCGCAGCCGCAGCAGCCCCCCTCCGCTGCGCTGCGCTCGGCCGGCTGAAATAGGACGCGGTGCTCGGTGGAAACATCGGCCGACTCACTCAACCACAGCACAGGAAACATCAGCTCAGCCCTGCCTCTGCCTCAGTCAGCTCTCACGCCTCTATCTTCACACATTTAGCACGCAAAGTTCATTTCAGGCCGAGTTATGAAAAAACTAATGCACATCCAGTCTCATCGTTCACATGGCGCACGGGGCAGCATTTTGTCATCCTTCAGGGTATTGATTATTATAAACTGCGTCCTCACTGTTGTCCTCCACCCAGTTTCTGGAAGATGAAGGTTCCAGATGACAAACCAAGCCTGCATGTAGATGAAAAAAAGCAGCTCTCCAATACAAGGTGACACAGCAGAGCATCACCAGGAAATAAACCTATAGTGTCCGTTTTCTCTGTCATTGCTTTTAAACATTGAATCATGGTCGTTTTAATTTGCCTTCAAGGACGAGAACGTTCCTCAATCAAAGCCTCTTTCATGCCAAAGTGAAAAGAGGTTTCTACAAAGTAATGTCAGATGTGCAATTTCAAGTATTTAGTGTTTAAAGTGACTCATCCAATTCAACACAGCTAGAAGCCACATGATTAGTGAAACAGAGCTCAGTGAATGTGTTTTAAGGGACTATAGTATAAAGATACTTGCATCTGGAAGGTCTGGTCACTAGTGAATCAGTACTCCTGACTATAACTACGCCATAAAGGCAAAAGAACCCTCCAAGCAACTCCATGGAAAGGTCGTTAATAAGTGTAAGTAAGTGGGTCGATATAAGAAAGTCACTGTGACAATCTCCTGGAGTACAGTTGAATCCATCATTGGAAATGGAAGGAATATGGACCACGTGTATAGCTGCCTAGACCAGAAAGCTGAGCTCGGGTCACCAAGACACCTATGACTTCTCCAAAGGAATTACAAGCTTCAGCAACTGAGCTGGGAGAGGTTGTGCTGACACCAGTTCTTCAACAGTCAAACCTTCAAAGGGACTGTGGCAAAGAGAAAGTCTTTGTCCGGGTGTATGTTTCCCTCAAGCTTGGGTACACTCCCAGAGGCCCAGGAGTTTGATGGTTCTGCACAGGAACCGTTCTGTACAAAGACCTCAGATGTTGTACCTGGAATCTGCTGGAGCCACTCTCGCAGTTTGAGGGTTTACATCCCTTAATGCTGCTGTTACCACTGGGCCCACCTTGGCCTTCACTTTCCACATCTGCTCCAGTTGTTCCTTCAACCCCTGGTACTACTCGATCTCAGGATTGTCACATCTTCTGCTCCTTGTCAACCAACACTCTCCCATTAACCCACTTGTCAAACACTACTGTGTCTGGTTGATTTGCCAGCAGTTGCTTGTTAATCTGGAAGTTGAAGCCTCACAGGATCCCACAGGCTCTCACTTTTATGGCCTCCGGGACTTGGGGACTTTGAGTCCATACTCGGCACAGATGTTCCCGTACACTGTTCCAACCACTTGGTAGTGCCTCGTGGTCTGTGCTGTCCCAGTCATGCATGTGTTGTTCCAGTAGCGCACTTCTTTTCAGCATGTCCTGGTCCCTGCACAAACGCAAACCTTGTTGTTCCAGAAAGACTTCCAAGCCAATACAGACTTACTCTTAGTCATATTCTGAGTTGGGCTTGTGCAGCATAAGGGCTCTTACTGGAGGCTCCCAGACTGGCCTGGAAATGGACTTGCTGTTCCCAGAGTGTCAGTCACCACCAGGCCATCCAGCTGCATATATAAAACACTCAAATATCAGCATGTAGTCAGCACGTCACTGTTACAGGTGGTGGACGTGCATGGAGCTAATCTGAACTACTTTATAGGCAGCAGATAAATCTGAGGCGTTCTGAGATGATCGATGGGAACGGAAAGAAGAAGAAAAACTAAGTTCTGATCCACAAATCTGTTTTCAGTTTTTGGACTTTTTCCTCTAACTTCTGGTGAGATATTGGATTATTTGCAGTTTATTTGAAATGATACCACATAAGAGGATTAAAATCCCGATTTGGTGGAGCTGTTAACAAATCATAGACATCTTCTTTATCCCTTGTATCAAATGTTCATGTTAAAAGTAAAGCTTGACAATGTTTCCCTCTGAAATGTTGTGAAGTGGAAGTGTAGAGCAGCAAAAAATGGAAACACTAAGTACAATAATACTCAGAGTTGCACTTGAGTGAATGTACTACAATACTTCCCACCTCTGCTTTTACCACGACTGCTTTATGACCCTTTGTATATTATTGTAACTGTGAAACTGAAGGGTCTCGCTTCTTCTTTTTTTTTTTTTAACACAACCGCTGATCTTTATCTAAACCTAGTTGTTTTTGTCCAGTGGTAAAACATGTTGGCGCTAGTTGCTCCCAGTAGAATTGTTAATTCAGGAAACCCTCCAATGGGTCGAGGAGTTAGAGGCCTAGTTTAATTTAATGTTGTGTTATTGGTATTGTTGTAAATGTTCTTGACTTGTCCTACCTTGTTTCACTCAGGTTCCACTCTAATAAAAGACTTTATATATTTCTACAAGGTTTTCTGTGGAGTTGGAGATTTCCTCTTGTAAACAAGAAATCAGGTCAGTGGCTCTAATGTGGCTGTCCATAAATAAATACGTGCCTGTTTGAGCCGTATACAGAACTCAGCAACCGAGTAACAAGTCTGACAGTGCAGCATCTGGGATGCCAGCGTTCTTATTAATAATGTTTTACTCATTTGGAGCCCTATTTGTCTTGACAAAAACAGAGAGACTAACGCAGTGACATTATCAAAAAGTCACTTTTAATTCAAGTAGGAGCTGGTCTGCTGACTTCATTGACACGTTTGATGTATTTGGGCCCACTCAGCAAAATTCATATTTCTGCTCTGAAGATGCCCTGTCAGCAGGAATTTTCCCCAAGAAATATATTTGTGCCAAGGTGGCAAAACCCTCTGCAACAGCATCTGAGTGTAGACTCTCCTGTTTACACCTAAACTTGCGAGTGAGCTGCGTCTCAAAGCATCATCTGTCGGATCTACTGGACACAGTAATGCCTTTACATGACTTGCAGAGTCTTTAAATCAATGACATATACAATGCAAAAGACATGTTTTTGCAAATCTGACTTGTTTACAGTCTTGTACCATCATTAATATTAAAGGCAGATCACAAGACAGAATGACTAACATTTAATTAAATGCATAACCTGCCTGATGCATAAGTGTAGCTGAAAGGAATACATTATTATGTTCGCAGTTAAATATATGAGATTAAAAGCCGCTCTGAGTGCATCTTGTTAAAACATTTACTTTATATTTCCTCTGGAATTCAGTCCTATAGTAAAGCTTTATATCACAAGTGTCTCTAGTGTGGTTTTTCCATTAATAAGGTCAGATAGAAATTCTTACAATTATATCTACTACGTGGGAAATTGTCAATCTATGGATCCACATATGGTTTTTCATTTCAACTTACTACTGGTGCAAGACGTCTCATACATAACCAAAGGCCCATTCTTTGTATATGTGCAAAAATAGGCCTCACATTTCTACATCACACAGGTGTTATCTGCCTTTAAGAGCAAACCAGTTGTGTCAGAAATCAGATTTTACATGAGGACTGGAAGACAGCATTTCAATGTCAGTCTCTGAACATAGTAAAGTTACACATTCAATAGAAGAACATTGAGCAAAACACATTTGACTGGAGGGCAACTTTAAAGTTCACCCGTGTGTGTGTGTGTGTGTGTGTGTGTGTGTGTGTGTGTGTGTGTGTGTTCGTTTAAATGGTCTAACACTGCATAGCAGCATATTATATGGGCCTTATGAATTGAGTGAGTTATATTTTCAATAACAGAATTTACATAATGGCACTCAAGAAAACTAACCCCATTGGCACAGTAATAAACCACATTATTGCAGACCTTGGGAAGCTACATAAAAATGCAGTTACGCGCGCTCGCTGGAAAGAAAGTCTCATAAAGCACAATATCATTCAGTGTAACTGTATTTGCATATTTAGCTGCAAGACAGTTGTGGTATATGAAGCAAAACGTTAAAGCTAGTGGACAGTCGAGCTGCACAGTCACGACTGCTCGTTAGCAGTAGCGGGACAGTGGATGCAAATACCGCGAAAACATATATTAGATTACTGCTTTCTCATTAAAGGGTTGATGCACAGTATAAAACTCAACGTACGCTTCAGTACCTGCTGTGTGATATTCTTTATGAATGTTTTGACAATCAGACCAAGAACTGGAGAATTGCTGTTTTTCATATACACATCTGGATTACTGTACATCCCAGGTTGTTAACAAGAAAAGCAAATAACAAACACAGCCTCAAAGAAAGTCTCAGACGCTATCGAGGGGTATCAAGAAATAACACTTTCTTCAAAACAACCCGAGATAAATCAAAACACGACAACAACCACACAAAAGTTTTTATTCATTTGTGTCTGACGCAGAACACAAGGAGCAGCTTTTTATAGCACCAGGTCTGTATTTCATTTCTGACAGTCTATGTTTATCTTAAATCTAAAACCCCGAAGCTTAAGAGGCCATGGGACAGTGATAGGCTTTCATGCAAGCAGTAACTCTGGACCGGCGAGCCATGACCTAATGATGACTGAACAGTTTCAATAGGATCTGTGTTAATTAAGAAGGAGATCAGAACCTTGTTTGTTTTTTAGCAGAGAACCGCAGCGTAGACGGAATATTAGCAGGGGGAAAATTCTGCTTATTTTTCTTTGCTGTGACTTGTCCTGGGAGTTATGGTTTGTCTACATCAACAGAACTAAAAATGGGAATATAAAGCTCATTCAGAATCCGGTAAATGACTGATGTTGGCTCTGGCGCTGCAGCCTGGTATTGTCATCAGCGGTATTGAGTAAGATAATACCGATGATGATGATGACGGTGATGACGGCCATTTGAAGCCCCTCTTCAGCCGAGCTCTTCCTGATGGTTTCAAAGCCTGACAAGTCTGCTGAAAGCACTGAGAGTATTTTTATGCCTCTGCAATCAGAGTTCTTGTTCCACATTTGATCTTCCTCTCAGTGGATCCGAGTCATGTTCAGTTTATCAGGCCTCCGAGGCTCTATGCTGAGCCTGCACTGGGATCAAACTGATTTTAGCTCAGGGCTTAGGGGGCTTTCTGTGCCACGAGCAGGAAAATCACTGACCCACATTAGCTTTACTTACGGAGAGCCTTTAAAAGCGGCGAACAGGGGGCGAAGACAGGAGTGCACAATGCAGACGCTGACAGGACATCTGCTGGTGGACTGTGGTCATTGCACTGTGACTTCATTCAGACATTTGGGTCCATTCACAAAGTTCTTCACCCACCCTGACCATTTGATTGGTGAGCGCAGGTGAGCATATGTCTCCTTCCTCCACTATGCTCGTCACCAACACAATTGCTATCTTGGGTGCAGATTTTGTAAATAGATGTCTAGGGGTCCAGTCCCATCAAATTTTGAGTGTCTTTATTTATTTCCTGCATTCTGAAGAATTGTTATCAAGCAATGAAACCTTTTTTGAATCAGCTTATGGTGTAAATGTAAAAGAAATCTCTAAATTCAACTGGCAACATTACAAAATATATTGAAATATAATGCAGTGAGACTCTCAGGCATTTTGTATTGCTTTGAACTCGTGTGGATCAACTCTTCTCATTACCGCTGCCGATTCGACACACATATTTAGGCCTACTCTTCTGTCTTCTTTTATGTCTCCTGTTCGGGGGATATAACCTCTTTAAATGTGCATATGACACCTTTTCACATCATTTTAACATTCTGAACTGCAAAACCCATTAGTGGGTTTGAAAGGCATGTAATCTTTTTTTTAAAGAAATGCCAAAATTATACCATTTATCGGAGCCAGAAACTATAAAAACAGAAAGAACTGTCAGATTTTTACATATCCAGTTGTCCTTGAACTAATCTCTGTAATGTGCTGGTTTGTTGGAGAAATGAACCATCTCTAAGCCTAAAATTGTGATGTTACATCTGTTATTGACATTTAGGCAAGAATAATCATTTGCACTAAACAGATGCTGTGGAAAACAAAGAAATTTGGTGCTCCTCAACCCAAACTGTGAAGCCAGTTTATGATTAATAAGATTAGAACTGGGGCTGCAAGGTAGGGCGGTGGTTAGCATCGTTGCCTCACAGCAAGAAGGTCACCGGTTCGCATCCCGGTGAGGACAACCGGGATCTTTCTGCGTGGAGTTTGCATGTTCTCCCCGTGCAGCGTGGGTTCTCTCTGGGTTCTCCGGCTTCCTCCCACACAGTCCAAAAACATGTTGAGGTTAATTGGTGATTCTAAATTGTCCGTAGGTGTGCTTGGTTGTCTGTCTCTAAGTGTAGCCCTGTGATAGACTGGTGACCTGTCCAGGGTGTCCCCTGCCTTCACCCTAAGTCAGCTGGGATAGACTCCAGCCCCCCACGACCCTAGTGAGGATTAAGCGGTGTATAGATAGTGATATATATGGATATGATATATCCATTATATAATAGATAATGGATGGATGGATGGATGGATGGATGATATTAGAACTGTGTTATACTGCACAAATGACGGTAGAATATGGAATATGAGCCCACATAGAGTAAAAATGTGAAAGGAACAAAAACATCCAGGACACAGAGGATGAGTTAATTTATAAACTTCTGGACTTTAATAGCCGATTTAAGTTTTAACAAAATTTCTGCTTACATTTGGCACTTTGTGCACATTTCAGACATATTTGATTAGCTGAAGAAGTTTTTCCCTGATCAGAGGTATGATTGGACAAGTGCACATGTCCTAAACATTGAGCACTACATATCTCTGGCATCCTCCCTGAATTTTCTTTTTCAGATTTACTGATAGGTGTTATAGTATGCCCTACCGGTGATGTACAGTCAGATAATATTTTGCAATTACATTTACTATTTTGCAATACCTGACAAATTTCCAGTTTTTGAATACCTGACTATATATACACATAAAAGGATCTTGTTATCTTCTTTGCTTTCAAAGTACTTGCACACACACACACACACACGCGCGCACACAAACATTTATTTCAACAAGGGTAACAGTTTAAAAGAAGGAAAAGTGCTGAACTGTGCACAGCTATACATCTGTGTAAAAGAGGATCAAGTTTAGTGCAAATTGTACAGATTTTGAAGATACGAATAAATACAGTTTTTAACAAAAAATTCAGGGTTAATGGATCCTTACACACACCAGGCAGGTAGATGACACTGTGATGGAGCAGAGAGCAACATTACTGATAATAAAGATGAACTCATCGCAGCTTATATGTCAGACAGCATCTTCTTCAAATTAGAATTAAAGGATTAAAGCTGCTCCTTGGGGATAGTGCCAATTATTAACAAGCTCAAACTGGATAATTGTTCAGTGTCTTTAACAAATTGAAGTGCATGCGGTAATTATTAGGCAGCCTGCACAGGTAAACCGGAAAGTCATCATCATGTAAAGCAATAGAAAATATATTGATTTTCATTCCATTCAATTAAAAAAATTAAAAAATAAAAATATATGTCACAGTCCAAATTAAAATCCAGGCAGATTTTAAATCTGCTTAGGCAAGATAAAAAATTTGATTTGGTCTAGGCGAGATTGAGATTCCCCCACGACCCTAGTGAGGATTAAGCGGTGTATAGATAATGGATGGATGGATGGATGGATGGATAGAAGATTGAAATTTTGATTTGGTCTAGGCAAATTTTAAATCTGCCTATGCAGAACTAAAATTTTGATTTCACTAAGACCAAACAAAACTCCTTCTTATATCATAATGAGATTATAATCCTGTCTGGGCACATTTTAATTTGGACTGTGAGTGACATATATATTCTCATTCTATTTGTTGATTGGTTGGTTGACACACTGATGATCCATCTCTCAAAGACATGAACGGAGTCGTGTGGCTTTCATTGGCTTTTTTTCGCGTACCTACACCAACCAGCGCACAAAGACGATCATAAAAAATAGTGTATTAAAAACACTGACCAGGAGAGTCGCAGCAGAGAAGTCTTTAGTCACCCGTAAAAGCATGCTTTTATCACGCCTGTCTGAAATATCCTTGGGGTCCTCAGTGGGTCCTTCAGGCGCCTCGGACAGCTGCTTGGCTCTCGCCTTTGATTGGTCTCCTTTCATTTGACAAGCAAAATAGAGCTGGGCTGAGTTTGGCCGAAAGAGAAGAAAAGCTCCGTGCATTATCTACACTTGTACACCGCAAAGATGTCCGAGGAGCGATCTGAAAGGTCCGATGGGAGGATTGTGAAGATGGAGGTGGACTACAGTTCAACTGTAGACCAGCGTCTCCCCGAATGTGAAAAAATGGCTAAAGTAAGTGCGGTGTAAAAGAGGCCAGCGCCGGCTGAGTCATGGTGCATCGGCGTTAGTGCGTTAGCATTCAAGCTAACATCTAGCGTTACGAGCTTTAGCACCACCCGGAAACCTACCATTACTAAATATACTGAACGCAAATTACTCTTAAATTTCTTATGTATTTTTTAATTGTCACACATTTCAGCTGCCTTTTATTTTCTCATTCAATTATGTGTTGATGATTGAGTTTGCTAGCATGCTAGTGGTGTTAGCAGTACAGTCATTGGCAGCATCCTTTGCTAACCTGCCAGGCGATGTGACTTTTACCACTGTGCAGGTCCTAAAACAGAAGTTTGTCATTTATGAGGTAGTAAGTGTAACAAACTCTAAATTTGTCTTCTACAGGAGGGAAAGTTGCAGGAGGCCATCGAGAGTCTGTTGTCACTGGAGAAGCAAACCAGAACAGTAAGTCAATATGCATTTGTGTGGTGCTGTACAGTATGAGTGTGACTTTGTTTTTAGTTCTGGAGGTTCTTTACATCTGGGAAATGTGTTATTAGTAGTTCATGATGTTATCTGATTATTTCTCATTCCATCCTAAAACTGTCTCATTGCTATAAACTTTAAATAAAATGTCAAACAGTTGGCTAGGAAGGGTTTCAATCATCCTTAGAAACTTAGTAATACTGCTTATAAGTCAGGATAATGTGTTAATAAGAAACTGATTAAATAACCAAAATGCCTTGGTAAAGCAGTTTACCTGGAACCCTGAAGCATTTAGCACTAAAATTCTCCAGAAAGAAGTACAGTGGGAGACATCAAACATTTTACAAGACAATAACATTTTAGTTAAATGTGTGTAAAGCAGTTATTTTTTGTGATCTGTGTACATGATATGTTTTTGTATGTCTGTGTATTTACCTCTCTGCCTTCACCCTTCCTCAGGCTTCAGACATGGTGTCAACATCCAGAATCCTTGTGGCTGTGGTCCAAATGTGTTATGAAGCCAAAGACTGGGATTCGCTGAATGAAAACATCATGTTACTCACCAAACGGAGGAGTCAGCTCAAACAGGTCATACACTTATTTCACCTTCACTGCTTTTTTGTACAAATTTGGCTGTCTTGTATCAGTTTACTCATGAAACATTTTCCCAAAATGGAAAATAGACATTTTAATGTCTTGTGTTACTGGGGACTAAATCTATTTTTTTTTGTTTTGCTCTCTGTTCTTAGGCTGTTGCCAAAATGGTGCAAGAATGTTACAAGTACGTGGATGCTGTGACCGATCTGACCATCAAGCTTAGGCTCATCGACACACTTCGCACTGTGACTGCTGGAAAGGTGTGTGTTTTTTGTGCTTCTATAAGAGGGACAACATAAGATTTTAACTGCTGTCAAATAAAGCAAGCAGTGGGGGTGGGCTCTTGAGGGGTGACTTGAGCATTGCAGGTAAACTAGGAAGACATTGCCACATTCAACAATTTGTGCCTTGCAGTATGCATACAAACCTAAAGTTGTTAATGTTTATCAAAGGCACATACTTGTGTCACTGAAATGTTCCTCTTTTGTGCACATATTAGGGAAAACATGCATTTTTTAATTAAATTTGCAGCAACTGGTTTACAAAAAAAATAGTTGTCTTGCAGAATTATTTAAGTATGTTAAGGTCAGGATGTGGTATTTAGGAGTTACTCAACACATTAGTCCCCTTTTTATCAATAATAAACTGAAATTTGTTCACCTCACAGATCTACGTAGAGATCGAGCGTGCCAGGCTCACAAAGACCCTGGCCAATATCAAGGAGCAGAGCGGAGAAGTCAAAGAGGCAGCTTCCATTCTCCAAGAGCTGCAGGTAACAGACGATGGCCTTTGTTTCATTCCTTCAGGATGAGTACAAATCAGTACAAGACTCAGCTTGTTTGGTTTATGCAGAGCAAAACTACATAAACTAACTCCATGGTGAGGTTTCATAGTGTGCTATATAAAAAAAAAAGTACTCACAATATACATGTTTTCTGGTCAGGTGGAGACATATGGCTCCATGGAGAAAAAGGAGAAGGTGGAGTTCATCTTGGAACAGATGAGGCTTTGCATTGCTGTCAAGGATTACATCCGCACCCAGATCATCAGTAAGAAGATAAACACCAAATTCTTCCAGGAGGAAGGCACAGAGGTAAGAGAGAGACCATGAATTTGGTGGTTTGTCAAATATGTAATGTTCCCCAGTATTTGAAAGCGATTGGGTCATTTTTGGTAAACATGTGCCACAAAGGTTGAAGTAACTGAAAACTAACACTTTTCTTTTTGTCTTCTGAACAACTCAGGAGTTGAAGCTGAAGTATTACAACCTGATGATTCAGGTGGACCAGCATGAGGGCTCCTACCTGTCTATCTGCAAACACTACCGGGCCATTTATGACACCCCCTGCATCTTGGAGGACAGCAGCAAGTGGCAACAGGTACTCAGTCTTCTTTTGACTCACAGTATGCAGAATATCAAGATTGTTTTGACAGTTACATGTTCAAGTGTTTTACTAATGTCTCAATTTTACTGATGAAATCACCCTTTGTTAATAAATTCTAGCATTTGGTGTAGTTATAAATAGAGATAGTGTGTGTTGTAGTTCTGTTTGTTTGGAATTTCTGTCTGTGAATTATAATGCTGGATCATCCCTGTTAGGAAGGTTCTTCTTTTGTACTGAAATCTACTAAAATCTGTTTCTAAACGTTCCTTTGCTTGTTACTTGTTGGGTATTTCTATTTTAATACAATAATTGCATTTGTGTTTCAGGCCCTGAAGAGTGTGGTGCTGTACGTGATTCTCTCTCCTTATGACAACGAGCAATCAGACCTTGTGCACAGAATCAGTGCAGACAAGAAATTGGAAGAAATCCCAAAATACAAGTAAGACACACTTGGTGCTGCTTGGGTTCTAGGCACTACCATTAATACAGTGAATAGGCCTCTGACATGATGTGATGTCGGTTTACTTTTCTCAAATACTATGAATCTGTGTGTGCAGTCACTTGCACAATCTCTTTCAGTAGAGTTGATCAATGTTTGTTGTACGTTAAATGCATGAAGGCTGATGCTGTTGTGTGCTACTCAGACGAACCGACAATAGCTTCTTTCACATGTGGCGACGTTAGGTGCACACCATTTGTAGCTCGGTGCAGATCCTACAGAATTCTCAATATATTCTTCAACCGCTCTCAGGGATCTTCTGAAGCAGTTCACTACTATGGAGCTGATGCGCTGGGCCTCCTTGGTTGAAGATTACGGAAAGGAGCTGAGAGAGGGCTCGCCCGACAGCCCCGCAACAGATGTCTTCTCTTATTCAGAGGAGGCCGAGAAAAGGTGGAAAGACCTGAAGAACAGAGTAGTGGAGCACGTAAGTCCCACAGCCAAGAGCGATGGCTTCTCACTTGAAGATGAAACACGTGTTCAGAAGGGTTTTTAGCTACATCCAGCACTAGACTGACTGGCACAGTTGAATGTTGGTAATTAGAGCGGTGAGCGCTAAGAGGAATTCTACCAAGTGCGGCTATGAAGGTCAAAGACTTGAAAACTACCTACAGACAGTGAAAGTGCTGCTGTGTCAGTTTGATCATGTTACCTTGAGTAGATGTAATAAAGACCATGCAATGAAAAGGAGGTTTCAATCACTAGCATGTAGTGTCACAAGCTCAATTGTGATTGAAAGACTCATTGAGGCCTATTTAAATGGCTACACTCTAATTGGACTAAATAGAATAAAATTACACGAGAATAATATGGAAAGAAAGCAACATGAACAAACGATCGAGAGGATATTGAAGCTGTGTGTAAACACAATGGCTCATGTGACAGTCTGCTATGTACAGTCATACAACACAATGAAAGTAGATCGGTAATGGATGTGTTTTTCATTTAGTTGTTTTCGTCTGTGAGCGCTGATGTGACCTTAAAGCGCCCATGTTCAAACTGCAAACGTGTAAACATTCTGCTGCATATATGTATGTTAATGATGTTCTCCCCTGTCCCACAGAACATCAGAATAATGGCCAAGTATTACACCAGAATCACAATGAAGAGGATGGCTGGACTCCTTGACCTCTCCATTGATGTAAGCATCAGTTTTACTAATTGGAGCAAAATGATGCTGCTGTTGACAGCATAGGAAACAAAAAAAACATGTTTGATGTAATGGTTTGTCAGTCCAGTCATGTTAGATCAGTTCTAACATTGCTGGAGTTGCAGTGAATTTGAGATTTTTATATTTAAGGCAGTTGGTCAGATGTACTTGTTTGGATGTTTATAGGTTGTTTACAAATTCTGTGTTCTGGTTAAAACAGCCCTAAATGTACTCATAAACAATGTTAAGTTCTCTGGTTAGCAGCTGACCTACATGCTTACGTCATAAATGTGTGGAATTACAGATTGAGGATAATTAGGTACAATTAAAACTAATTGATTTGCCATTTGGAATACAGAATGAGTAATTCTGGGTGTGTTTTTTTTCCCCCCTTTGCAAAGTATGTTAATTTAACCAATCTGACCTGCACAGTTCCCCTCGCTTATTAAGGAAACTAATATTCAGGCTTTGGGTTCACTGAAGAACATTTTGCATGATAACAACAAGATGTTTGTCTCCTCCCAACACTTTTGTCAGGAATCAGAGGAGTTCCTCTCCAGCTTAGTTGTAAACAAGACCATCTACGCCAAGGTGGACCGGCTGGCTGGCATCATCAACTTCCAGAGGCCCAAAGACCCCAACGACCTGCTCAACGACTGGTCGCACAAACTCAACTCGCTCATGTCTCTGGTCAACAAGACCACGCATCTCATTGCCAAGGAGGAGATGATCCACAACCTTCAGTGAAACACAAACAGAGTGCATTATTTTACATTTTGGTTCATGTTTGTTTTTGTTTTGTTTCCTTCTGTGGAAATGTTCTTTTTGGATATACGGTATACTGGCAGACTGTAAATGCAGCCAAATTCCAATGTCATACAATTAGGGGGAAAACAATCTGCAATGCCTACATGTGACATGTTATCTGCAAATATGTTACCGATTGCCATTCGATTGAATATATATATTCACTATAGCATTTGTTGCTGTATCAAAACATGGCTGTAAACTCCTGTCAGTGTGTACACGGCGATGTAAACAATAAACTCCTTGTATTTGGTTAACAGTTGTATGTAGGTTTTATGTTTCACTTGACAGATTACACTTGTTGTGAGTCCTATGATGAGTTCAAATGTCTGCTGTTTTGTAGAGGTTTACTGTGTGTGCTGCCTCATTGACTGCCCTATGGGGGTTACATTGTGCATTTCAGAGCAATCGGAATTACATTTTTGAGACATTCATCTATGAGAATGTGGCAATTGAACATGCAGTTTCCATCTTCACCATCATTTTTGAACAGTTCTATTCCTCACATAGTTTAACCCTGCCTACACATTGGTTCCTATTGAGTTCTTAGTGTAATTAACAGCAGACTATACATTACTTAACATTTGTTCCAGCTTACACACACAAATAGTTATTAGTATTTTGATTATTTTACCTCTGTCTGCTCTCTCTGTACCTCTAGTTGTCCCACCAATCGGTCCAGTGTTTATCCTTTCTTGTTGGTTGGCTGTTTATCGGTGCTATCCTTTATCCCATTCACCCTCACCCAAACCAGCTGAGCAGATGGCTGCCGTCCCTGAGACTGGTTCTACTGGAGATCACTTTCTGTTTAAAAGAAAAAAAAAAAAAAAAAAAAGGAGTCCCTCCCCTCCATTGCTGCAAATATGCTTGCACATTAGGTATCTTTGGATTCACTGGGTTTTCCACGCATAGTTTTGGAGAGTCTCATTTTTAAGTTTGTCAGGAACATTTTCACAAAAGATTTTCATGTAAATTTGGATATTATTTACTTTTGGAGGGTTTACCTGTGATATTTAAGTTACTCTAATAAACTGACCTCGTAAATGACACAATGGGGTATTAACCTTAATAGGTTGATGCACCATCTCAGATTTTGTTCAGGGTTTACTTTGTTGTTAGTTTGGACTAAATTCTGCAAAATATTTGTTTTCAAGGGCTAATAATGAGAAATTCAGGGTTTACTTATATGCTATGTGGAATCCAAAAGTAAATTGAGTAAAATATTTTTTATATGGGCCAATATTAATAATAATTAAAGAAACACTTTTGCTGGAGCCATTCATTCATATTTACATCTACCTCACTTAATTCCATGCCTGTGGGAGTTATATTTCTAGAGACACTGACCCCTAAAAATGACTTTAAAGATAACAGATTTTACCTACTTTTTGGGTCCCAAATAACAAATAAGTGAACTCTGTACAAAATGCTGAGACGATGCAGCAACACCATTATCATGAACTGACATTATTAGAAACTGCTGTTGTTATAAATGCGTTATATAAATAATGGTGACTTTATAAGTACCATTCCCTTTGTTTGCTCAGCATATTTAAAAAAATAAAACAGGATATACCAAATTTCTGAGGCAAAATAGATAATTAAATGTATTTATTTATACAAATAACCGAGTTAATAAGCATGAACTATTTGACAAAGTTGTAGAGAATAGATCAATTCCATGTTTTTTCTATTTTATTTTGATAAATACAAAACCAATTTAGCCAGAGGAGTTAGTACTATTACTATAATTAAATGCTTACAAGCTATAAAATATACTGCATTTTAATACAAACCCCTTATTGACATGTAAGACCAGAACCATCAGAGGCCACATACACACAGACAGACAGACGCGCGCACGCTCACGCACACACCAGTCCTCTCAACCTTCAGATCAGTACATCCCACTATGCTTTGCGATGGTCTGACAAGTGGATCCAAGATGGCGTAGAAAGTAAAGCTAGGTAAGTGTTGACTTCCCATTTTCAGCCCTTTCAGTTGTCTTTTTCATCACAAAGCCACTGACACGAATCCCCTCCATAAATCATTAGGATAATGACGAACGCTTTGAGTTCATGCACGGATAACAACACGATGTCATATCCTTTATATGCGCCCAAACACCGTGGCAAAATTACAGGCCCCGAACCCGTTTTGTTTCGGCGAACCTAGCTAGCTAGCCTGCTAACATTAACAAACCAGCCAGCTATTCTTGTTGTGAGCCTTGCCAGTTTGGTTCCAAGAAAGGCCGTGTTTTGGCTAGCGAGCTAGCTGCTAGCTACGCATAGCCTGTTTAGTAGCAACACTGTTTGCCCCGTGCAGTCGCGGACGATAAGTTAACCAGCACTGTGGGGACATTTTTCGGGGCTTTGTAACGCTGCCGTCATCGCTCTGACTTGCAGCAGTCATGACAAGTTTGCCAGACAAACAACAGCTACAACTATCAGCTGAAAGACGAAACAAGTCGTCCCCAATGTCTGTGCTCAGCAGTGTGTGCTTTTTTTTTTTTTTTTTCGATATCCGCTAATTGGGCTCAGAGAAATTAGCAAGTTTTATTGCCATGTTTTCCCACACATTGCTGAGTCTGTCGAACCAAAATAACGTTTCAACTACACTCAGCTATAAAATCAGCTTTCTCATCCACTGTACAGCAGACGAGGCTGTAGTCGCTTTTTGTGGGATCCCACGACTGGACACCAAAAATAAGGCAGGTGCCCACCCACTGTATCCCGCCAAACTATTTTTATGTTGTTGACCCAATGAAGTGGCTGGCTTGCAGGCAATAACACAAGGTAACGACTATCCCCTGCAGTTACAAATAGGTCTGTGAAACGCTTTGCATAGGTTTTGAAATAACCTCTAATAATTGGAGTAGTGCTGCTTTTAAGGTCAGTCCTCTGTTTGCTTTTTTTTTTTTTTTTTTTTTTTAAATCTAGGATCCTGTTTTCCCATCCTAGTAAGAAACATCGTCTACTTAGCAACTTCCAGCCCTCACATATTAGATTTTGAGCTTATATATTGTGACTTAATGCTGTTAAAACATCAGCAGAGCATGTGCCACAGTGGTAATGGTTTCGTAACTGCCTGTAAAGCACATGTTTCAGGATGCTTTTAACACCAACAAGTACAGTAAACACATTTACCTGCATGTGCTTTAACCTATATTGTGCGAATAGGGCTTAAACCATATTGTTAAGAATACTCTTATATTATGGTATGGCAGACGCTGCAACACTGACCAGTTTCCATAAATGCTAGCATAGTATAGATAATCAGCATTGTTCCTCATCTGAATGTTTTTTAGAGGAAGTGAACTCATCAGCAGTTCACTTTTTTGTTTCTTCTGGAAAAGTTAGCATGATGGAGAACTGCAGATCTGTCATGTTTCGTCAGATGCGTATATATAACTGCTAGTGTAATGCACCGTGCTCAGTTTGTTGTTGTTGTTGTTTTTTGTTGTTGTTCCAACTCATGTAATGTCTGTGTGAAGAGATGGAGATTGGTTGTGATGTCTTCAGCAACATCTGAAAAAAAGAATATATGTGACGCAAATGTTGCATTTTATTTAACTCATGTTAAATCAAAGCATTTAAAATCTATGATAGAAACTATACATCAGCACTTAGATTTGATGTGTGTCATGTACTGTGAATAGGCTGAAGAATGTGTGTGTGTAATATTGTCCTAAGAGAGAAGACCCATCAGTATCAGAGGCTGGAGCGGCAGCTTCAGGGCCTATTTTTGGGTATTCTGTAAGAATTATCTGCAACAATTACTGGAAGGTTAACATCCTGGTTGTTTTTTTTTTCACCCTGTCCCACATAGTTAGTTTCGATTTACAAAATTCCCGATTAATGTTCTTTTACAAAAACACGATTTTCTACAAAAGCTTAAATTTTTCTTGTAATTGTTTGTTTTTGCCGGGACAATGCACACTTAAAAGTAATTGCACTAGAGTTAGCAGCAAATTTATGTCTGTCTCTTGGCAAATAGACAAAAAAAACAACAACCACAGAAAAATAATTCTACTGCATAAAGCAGCAAACTACATAAAGTCCATCAGTATGTGATAATAAATAGAATCACGATGTTAAATACAATAAATAAATCACAATTATTGGTGGTTTGTGCTAACTTTAGCCAAAACTTGAAGTTGTTTTTAAACACTGCCAAATTTCCTGAGTCTTTAATGTTTGTAGGTACAGAATTCTGCTTCCCCAGAACTTTAACCAAGAAAACCGATTGACAAACATTTGTCTTTTTGAACTGCAATACCCAGTCACCTTGAGTAAATGCTCTAGTCCTAAAGGCTCCGCCACTGCATGGATAGGAAGGGCATCCTCTTTGAGGAGAGGGTGTAAGATTATGGATAATTTTAAACATCATACATGCACCAGAGCGAAATCCAAGATTATGTCCTGTTTAGTGCACCGTACAGTACAGCCTCAGCATCTTGTATTTGTTTGCTGTGTGCTTTCAAGGACTGGTTGTTACAAATATACCCAAATTTACTGTGCCACAGGCCACAGTTTCACCGTTCTTTCTGAGCCAGTCATAATCAAAAGCTGAATTCCAGGCTGTGGTGAGTGCTTGGATGGAAATTCAGCATCGGCTAATTGTTGTGGAATTTTAATTAGCAACTGAAAGTTTGTTTTGCCAGCCATCTTTGCACATAATAACTATAATGGGGCTTTTTGGGGCAGCGTTTTTGTGATAAAAGCTCTTTATCTGCCACCCTGAGATAAGTTCCACTGCCAATGGTGAAAACCAGTGAGGTGGAAATAGGACCAAAAGTTACTAGGCTGTTGGCCAAGGTTGAGCATTTGAGGCTCTGGTGTTTCCCAGCAGGTCACGGTGTACCCTCCTTATCCTCATGTGTGCTGGGTGGTGTGAAGGAGAGCACGCTGCTGAGATCCCAGTTCACATGCTTCTGCTTTGCTGCTTTGTTGCATTTGGGGAAGGTTAAATGTTGCTGGGATGAGAGGGACTAGCGATAGGAGTTATACAGCAGACTTAGCCTTGCATCCACTATAGGTTGCACCCCATTTTGAGGCTCAGTAGTTCTGAAAGCGAAAAGCATTCAGGCCACACCAGTGAGTTTGGTTTTTGGTAAACCAATTGTGTCTGGCAGGCTACATCATCCTCCTTCTAACCAGGGTTCAGCTACAACTGCTAGGTCTTAGTATGACGGTGTGACCTTTAGTTTCTACAGTTTATTTTATTGAAATTATTGAACTAAAGATCACAATGTTCACT